CTGTTTGCGCGTTCGGCGCCAGAAAGTGCAGCCTGCAATGACCCGGACCTGCAGGTTCTGGGGGGGGAGGGGAGATGCACAAAATCAGGCGCTGGGGCTAACGCAACACTGAGGGGGATCCTCATCTCCAGGGCAGATAACCCAAGCCTGAGGGTAGCTGGACGCCCCCCACATCTCCATATCACTGCCCCAGAGCACACGCCCTGCTTTTCTCTCTTTGCAGGCCCTTCCCCACCAGGGGGCGCTCTCCTCTGGCAGGCAGGGCTGGTCCCAATACCCCAGTGGGGCGCAAGGGGGAGCCGTGCTGCAGGGAATGGGGGACGCAGCAGGGGGCGCTCTCCTCTGGCAGGCAGGGCTGGTCCCAATACCCCAGTGGGGCGCAAGGGGGAGCCGTGCTGCAGGGAATGGGGGACGCAGCAGGGGGCGCTCTCCTCTGGCAGGCAGGGCTGGTCCCAATACCCCAGTGGGGCGCAAGGGGGAGCCGTGCTGCAGGGAATGGGGGACGCAGCAGGGGGCGCTCTCCTCTGGCAGGCAGGGCTGGTCCCAATACCCCAGTGGGGCGCAAGGGGGAGCCGTGCTGCAGGGAATGGGGGACGCAGCAGGGGGCGCTCTCCTCTGGCAGGCAGGGCTGGTCCCAATACCCCAGTGGGGCGCAAGGGGGAGCCGTGCTGCAGGGAATGGGGGACGCAGCAGGGGGCGCTCTCCTCTGGCAGGCAGGGCTGGTCCCAATACCCCAGTGGGGCGCAAGGGGGAGCCGTGCTGCAGAGGGCTGGGGGGCTGGGCACCCCCAAGCCAGCCCCTACCTCCATGGAGTGCACGTTGAGGCAGACGGCCTCTGCCATGCTGAGGAAGGCGGCCAGGTGCTGCTCCCCCAGGATCAGGTACACGGGGACCCCGCGCCTCATGCCCGCCTCGTGCAAGTCCAGCAGGATATCGGGGTCCGTGAAGACGTCCATCACTATGGCAACCACCTGGGAAAACACCCCACAGAGAGCTGCAGACACCCTGGCCAGGGGCCCCAGCTCCCAGCCACCCCAGGGCAGCGCCTGGCCAGCAGGAAGTAGGGCCCAGGGCCTCTCCTCACCAGGGCACTGGCCCCCATCCACCCCCAGGGTGCATGTATGGAACGAGTTTGTCAGATCTCAGCCTAGTGCCTCAGTACCGGCTCCAAGCACTAAACCTCCCCAGAATCATTCCTCGGGGACTCCCACCGCTCCCCTGTCAGAGCCAGGCTAGAACCCAGGCCCCCGGGCCTCTGTACCTTGGCAGCCTGCTGGATTTTCCTGCGCACCAGCTCCTTGACCTTGGGGGCTCCGTCCCCCGGCGGATGCGTGAAGACCTCGGCTCGCGTGAAGCCCTTCCAGTTGCCGCCCAGGGGCCAGCCCAGCTCCAGCTCGGGGGTGGGTTCGTCCGAGCACCCGGGCCAGTAGCTGAGGCTCAGCTCGGCGGCGTCCCCGTCCCCCTCCCCCGCCCGCTCTGGGCTGTGGAGCTCCTCGTCGGACAGGAAGGGGCGCAGCCCGTCCTGCGCCAGGCGCTTGGCGTAGGCCGCCTGCCCTCCGGCCAGCAGGGCCTCCACAGCCAGCCGCTGTCCCTCCGAGTAGAAGAATTCGGGGCTGGATTCGGTCACCGGGGTCCCTGGCGGGACGTCCTCCAGGCAGCCCAGCTGCGAGGCCGCCATGGGCCCCCCGTGGCAAGTGGGGCTGGGCTGGGGGGCCACCCCCCACAGATACACAGGGACACCTCCCCCACACAGCCCCACTCGCTGCCCACCTCCCTGTCCCCTTGCTCCCTCTCTTTTCTCGGCTCACCCGGTGCTGCTCAGACACAGAGTCACCGGGGATCGGGCCCCGGCGGGCCAGCTGCTGCCCAAACAGAGACCTCACAACCTACCCATCCATGGCGCCTTCTCCCTATTCAGCTCCCCACAAGCCCCCCCACTCAGCAACCTGCACCCCCATTGGCCTGGTGCTAGGAGGTAGCAACATCTCTAGGGAAACTCCCTCACACCAGGGTCCGGGGGTGTCTCTGTCCCAGGGCACGTCCCCAGCTGGAGCAGCGTCCTTCTCGCTCCCGGGGGCAGAAGGAAGGCTGGCTTAGGAGGATGGAGGCACAGCCTCAGATGGGAAAGACCCAGGCCCCAGGCCCTGCTGCTCTGTGGCCTTGAGTGAGCTGGTTGGTCTCCCTGTGCCTCAGTTTCCCCACCTCTGCCACAGAGGCAAAGCGCCCAGACGCCCTGGCGAGTGCTGACCAGCCGGGAACCGGGCTCCTGTCCTGGGAGGGGGAGCCGTGGGGGGCTTTCCTGGTCGAGGGCCCTGGAAGTAGAGAGAGAAGGCCTCAGGGCAAGATCCCATCTCGGGGGGAGTGAGATGCGCTCCCCACCCTGTTCCAGGGAGCCGCAGCGGAAGCTGTGATAAGATTAGGTTGCAAAGGTGAGCTGGCACTTCCCAGCCTCCGCGTCTGGGAATGAGAGGGCTCTGTGCCGCACAGGGCAGGCGGTGCAGTGGTTAGAGTGGGGGGGCCTAGCAGCCAGGACTCCTGGGTTCTTTCTCTTTAGAGGGGAGGGGCTGATCACCTGAGTTCTGTCACAGACCACAAACTCTCACCCTTCCCTCCCGCCCGGAACAAGCCGATCACTGGGGCATCGTTTCCTGCAAATAAACAAACCAGCCTTACCAGGAATTTATCTGGTAAATCAAGGAACCAGGTAAAGTTGCAGGAAGGAGTCACAATGCTCCGGTCACCAGACCCCACCGCCAGGGAGAGAACCCAGGTGTCCTGGCTCTAACTACTAGACCCCACTGCTCTTCTACAGCCAGAGAGAGAACCCAGAAGTCCTGGCTCCCAGCTCCTCCCTTGCTCTAACCACTAGACCCCACTGCCCTCCCAGAGCCAGGGAGAGGATCCAGAAGTCCTGGCTTCTAGCCCTCCTCTCCCCCACTCTAACCACCCTCCCCCCTGCTCTAACCACTAGACCCCACTGCCCTCCCAGAGCCAGGGAGAGGATCCAGAAGTCCTGGCTTCTAGCCCTCCTCTCCCCCACTCTAACCACCCTCCCCCCTGCTCTAACCACTAGACCCCACTGCCTTCCCACAGCCAGAGAGAGAACCCAGAACTCCTGGCTCCCAGCCCCCACACCCTTGGTCTAACCACTAGACCACACTGCCCTCCCAGAGCCAGGAGAGAACCCAGGCATCCTGGCTCCTAGCCCCTCTGCACTACCCACTGCAGCCCACACCTACCTGGCCCAGGGATCCGGGTTCATATCCTCCCTCCCTCGCGCAGTCCTGCCCGTTAATGATTCCCCAGGCTCCACAGCCCCCGCCCGGGCCCGCCCCGCAGGCAGACCTTGGAGCTGGGCACAGGCGGGCCTAGGAAGCAGCCTGGGGCAGAGCTGCCAATTAAAGGGGAAGGAGGCAGGGCGGGGCCCTCACAATGCCCACGGAGTCAACAGAGCCAGTGCCCGGGCGGCGGGTGACAAATGGGCCCCGGGGGCTTCGCTTTGGGGTGGCACCAAATAACCACCCCTCAAGCTGCCAGGGCTGTGCAAAGGAGGCCAGGAAAGAATAAAAGGGGAACCCTGAACCCTGGCTCCCAGCCCCCCCGCTATAACCACTAGACCCCACTCCCCTCTCAGAGCCAGGGAGAGAACCCAGGCTCACAGCGCCCCCTCCCCCCGCCCCGTGCTATAACCACTAGACCCCACTCCCCTCTCAGAACCAGGGAGAGAACCCAGGCGTCCAAGCTCCCAGCCCCCCCTGCTCTAACCACTAAGCCCCACTGCCCTCTCAGAGCTGGGGGGGGTGGAGAGCCTAGTCCCAGGACAAGGTGGCCTGGCCACATCCCCTATCTATGGGGTGGGGAGGGGGGGGCAG